GCAGAGAATTGCTGGAAACCATGAGGCAGAGGTTGCCGTTAGCCGAGATCACACCACTACACTCCAGCCTGGGCGACAGAGCGTGACCGTGAAAAAAGAATCAGTTTTAAAAATGTGTTAAGATTTTATTTTTGGCCTAAACAGGTGGTCCATAAAGAAGACTGTTGTGTGAGCTCTTGAGAAGGCTGTGTATCCTGATGTTGAGGGGTGTTCTCTATACCTTCATTAGAAATCATTCTTTTGTATTGCCTGCTAGTCTTCTATTCCCTTACTAATATTGTCTTCTTTTATCATTATTACAAAAAGTGGGGTATTCAAATAATCTACTATACTTATATTGCTCTCTCTGTGTTAATTCAGTTTTGTTAGTATTTCATTGATGTATTTAAAATTCTAATTTGAGACACATACACACAGATACACACATGTCTAAACAAATTTGTCATAGTTCTCCGTAGGTCCTGCTTTGTTTTTTTGAAGTTTTGACTTAAAGTATATTTTACAAAATACGACAGTTTTTGGCTCAAAGTGTACCTTGTGTAGTATTATTTTGACCTCCTTTGCTCTCATTTGCTTAGTATTTACAGGAAACTTCTGAATCTTGATTTAAAAATTTTCATTTTGTTTTGTTTTTGTCCCAAGTTTTATTTGAAAAAATTTTACATCCACAGAAAAGTTTAAGAGATTAGTTGGCAGCTTTCCCACAGCTATATATCCTCTGGATCCACCAATTATAAATACTTAGTTTTTGTTTGTTTTTGTTTTGCATTTTAGGTTTTGGGGTACATGTAAGAACAGGCAAGATTGTTGTATAGGTACAGATGTGGCAGTGTGATTTGCTGCCTTCCTCCCATTCACCTATATCTGGCATTTCTCCCCCTGCTATCTCTCCCCAACTCCCCACCCCCCACTGTCCCTGCCCTATTTCCGCCCAACAGACCCCAGTGTGTGATGCTCCCTTCCCTGTGTCCGTGTGTTCTCGTTGTTCAACACCTGCCTGTGAGTGAGAACATGCGGCATTTGATTTTCTGTTCTTGTGTCAGTTTGCTGAGAATGATGCTTTCCAGGTTCATCCATGTCCCTACAGAAGGACAGGAACTCATTGTTTTTGATGGCTGCATAATATTCCATTGTGTATATGTACCCAATTTTCCCTGTCCAGTCTATGATCGATGGGCATTTGGGTTGGTTCCAGGTCTTTGCTCTTGTAACCAGTGCTGCAATGAACATTCGTGTGCATGTGTACTTATAGTAGAACGATTTATAATTTTGGGGATATATATACCGTAATGGGATTGCTGGGTCAAATGGAATTTCTGTTTCTAGCTCCTTGAGGAATTGCCACACTGTCTTCCACAATGGTTGAACTAATTTACACTCCCACCAGCACTGTAAAAGTATTTCTATTTCTCCACATCCTCTCCAGCATCTGTCGTCTCCAGATTTTTTAATGATCGCCATTGTAAGTGGCCTGAGATGGTATCTCAATTTGCATTTCTCTAATGACCGGTGATGATGAGCATTTTTTCCTATGTTTGTTGGCCTCACATATGTCTTTTGTAAAGTGTCTGTTCATATCCTTCGCCCACTTTTGAATGGGCTCGTTTGTTTTTTTTCTTGTAAATCTGTTTTAGTTCTTTGTAAATTCTGGGTATCAGCCCTTTGTCAGATGGGTAGACTGCAAAAATTTTTTCCTGCCGGGCGCGGTGGCTCAAGCCTGTTATCCCAGCACTTTGGGAGGCCGAGGCGGGTGGATCACGAGGTCGAGAGTTCGAGACCATCCTGGTCGACATGGTGAAACCCCGTCTCTACTAAAAATACAAAAAAAAAAAAAATTAGCTGGGCATGGTGGCACGTGCCTGTAATCCCAGCTACTCCGGAGGCTGAGGCAGGAGAATTGCCTGAACCCAGGAGGCGGAGGTTGCGGTGAGCCGAGATCGCACCATTGCACTCCAGCCTGGGTAACAAGAGCGAAACTCCGTCTCAAAAAAAAAAAAAAAAAAAAAAAATTTCCCATTCTGTTGGTTGCCGATTCACTCCAATGACTGTTTCTGTTGCCATACAAAAGCTGTGGAGTTTGATTAGGTCACATTTGTCTGTTTTGGCTTTTGTTGCCAATGCTTTTGGCTTTTTGGTCATGAAGTCCTTGCCTACGCCTATGTCCTGAATGGTTTTACCTAGATTTTCTTCTAGGGTTTTTATGGTGTTAGGTCTGATGTTTAACTCTTTAATCCATCTGGAGTTAATTTTAGTGTAAGGTGTTGGGAAGGGCTCCAGTTTCTGCTTTCTGCACATGGCTATCCAGTTTTCCCAACATCATTTATTAAACAGGGAATCCTTTCCCCATTGCTTGTTTTTGTTAGGTTTGTCAAAGATCGGATGGTTGTAGATATGTTGTGTTGCCTCTCAGGCCTCTGTTCTGTTCCATTGGTCTGCATCTCTGTTTTGGTACCAGTACCATGCTGTTTTGATTACTGTAGACTTGTAGTATAGTTTGAAGTCCAGTAGTGTGATGCCTCCAGCTTTGTTCTTTTTGCTTAGAATTGACTTGGCTATGCGGGCTCTCTTTGGTTTCCATATGAAGTTTAAGGTGTTTTTTTCCAGTTCTGTGAAGAAGGTCATTTGTAGTTTGATGGGGATATCGTTGACTTTGTAATTTATTTTAGGCAGTATGGTCATTTTCATGATATTGATTCTTCCTAATCCTGAACTTTGAATGTTTTTCCATCTGTTTGTGTCCTCTCTTATTTCATTGAGCAGTCGTTTGTAGTTCCCCTTGAAGAGATCCTTTATGTTGCTTGTTAGTTGTATTCCTAGGTATTGTTTTCTCTTTGTAGCAATTGTGAATGGCAGTTCGTTCTTGATTTGGCTCTCTTTAAGTCCATGATTGGTATATAGGAATGCTTGTGATTTTTGCACAACGATTTTGTATCCTGAGACTTTGCTGAAGTTGCTTATCAGTTTCAGGAGATTTTGGGCTGCGACGATGGGGTCTTCTAGATATATAATCATATTGTCTACAAATAGAGACAAGTTGACTTCCTCTTTTCTTATTTCAGTACCCTTTATTTCTTTTTCTTGCCTGATTGCTCTGGCTTTACTTTTTTAAATAATCCTTTTTATTGAAAGTATGTCTCTAGTTGCAAAGATAATTACATATATATTTAGATAGTTTTCTGAAAGAGAAACTATACTTAATGTTATTGTATAGATTGTTTTAGTTGACTCTTGTCCTCTCTTATTTTTTTTTTGTGTGTGTGTTTGGTTGTTTGATTTTTGTATTGATATGCTTTCAGTTTATTTTTGTGTATCTATACCAATATTTTCTTCTTTCTTTCTTTCTTCTGTCTTTTTCTTTCTGCCTTCCTTTCTTCCTTTTTCTTTCTTTCTTTCTTTCTCCTTTTCTCTCTCTCTCTCTCGCTCTTTTTTTTCTGTCACTTTCTTTCTCTTTCTCTCTCTTTCTTTCATCTTTCTCTGTAGCATAGGCTGGTGTGCAGGTCAGTGAAACCACCTTTCAGGTCTCAGTTCAAGCAATTCCCCTGCCTCAGCCACCTCAGTAGGTGGGACAACAGACTGCACCAGCATGCCCAGATAATTTTTGTATTTTTAGTAGAGATGGTGTTTCACCATGTTGGCCAGTCTGGTCTTGAATTCCCGACCTCATCATCTGCCCTCCTTGGCCTCCCCATGTGCTGGGATTACAGGAAAATGCCACTGTGCCCAGCCCAGATATTTTCTTTTCTTTTTCTTTTTTTTTTTTTTTTTTTTTTTTTTTTTTGTGAGACAGAGTCTCACTCCATCACCAAGCGCCAGGCTGGAGGGTAGTGGTGTGAACTTGGCCCACTGCAACCTCCGCCTCCCGGGTTCAAGCAATACTACTGCCTCAGCCTCCCAAGTAGCTGGGATTACAGGTACCTGTTAGCACCCCTAGTAGTTTTTTTTTGTATTTTTAATAGAGATGGTGTTTAACCCGGTTGCTCCGGCTGGTCTCAAACTCCTGACCTCAGGTAATCCATCTGCCGTTTTCATTTGATGTGCTGAGATTACAGGCATGAGACGTCATGCCTGTCTGGCAATTTATATTATTAGTTTTTGTTTTGTTTTGTTTTATTTTGAGACAGAGTTTCGCTCTTGTTACCCAGGCTGGAGGGCAATGGCACGATATCGGCTCACTGCAACCTCTGCCTCCTGGGTTCAGGCAATTCTCCTGCCTCAGCCTCCTGAGTAGCTGGGATTACAGGCAGGTGCCACCATGCCCAGCTAGTTTTTTGTATTTTTAGTAGAGACGGGGTTTCACCATGTTGACCAGGATGGTCTCGATCTCTTGACCTCGTGATCAACCTGCCTCGGCCTCCCAAAGTGCTGGGATTACAGGCGTGAGCCACCACGCCCGGCTTGTTTTGTTTTTTTAATGCACAGTGTCACTCTGTCACCCAGGCTGGATTTTAGTGACATGATCTTAGCTCATTGCAATCTCTGTCTCTTAGGATCAAGCAATTTTTAGGCTCAGCCTCCTTAGTAGCTGGGATTACATGTGGCCCCAACCATTCCCACCTACTTTTTTGTATTTTTAGTAGAGACAAGGTTTCAGCATCTTTGCCAGGTTGGTCTTCAATTCCTGACCTCATGTGTTTCACCCCTTCACCCTCCCCAAATGCTGGGATTACAGGCATGAGCCACGGTCCCTGACTGGCAGTGTGCTTGAGGAGGAGGACCTGTGTCTGGTATGAGAAAGCGACATTTCTATTTCTTCTATGTGGCTTTTTGAATTGTGCTCACCTGGGGCCTTCGTACACTTAACACACTTATGAATTTTTTACGAATGGATTTTGGTCAGTATGTTTTTGTTACATTTATATGACCAGCAAGAAATGACAGCTTGTGGTATTTTGCTGTGTGATCTCACTGATGTAGATTGTATGATTTTATACAATAGATTTGTAAAGTGTATTTATCTGAGTCTTGCCATTGAAGTAATGTGTTTCTATTGTTTCTTTCAGGTATGTCTTCTCATTTTGCCCAAGACCTTTTGCCAGGGCAGAGCATGAATGATTCTTTCCAAAAAACGATACTGAGCAGATATGAAAAACATGGATATGACACTTTAGGGTTAAAAAACATCTGTGAAAGTGTAGATGAGTGTCATGTGCACAAAGCGGGTTATAATGGAATTAACGAAAGTTTTACAATATTTCAATGTGATAAATATATGAACTATTTTATAAGTTTTCAAATTCCAACAGACATAAGACGAGACATATTGCAAAAAACATTTTCAAATATATACAATGTGGCAAAGCTATTAACCAGTCCTTAACTCTTACTACAGATAAGAAAATTCATACTGGAGAGAAACCCTACAAATGCGAAGAGGGTGGCAAAGGCTTCAACTGGTTCTCACACCTTACTATACATAAGAAAATTCGTACAGGAGAGAGATCCTACAGATGTGAAGAATGTGGCAAAGCCTTTACACACTCATCAAACCTTTCTACACATAAGCGAATTCATACAGGAGAGAAACCCTATAAATGTGAAGAATGTGGCAAAGCCTTTAAGCAGTCCTCAAACCTTTCTACACATAAGATAATTCATACAGGAGAGAAACCCTATAAATGTGAAGAATGTGGCAAATGTTTTGTACACTCCTCAGCCCTTTGTACGCATAAGAGAATTCATACAGGAGAGAAACTCTATAAATGTGAAGAATGTGGCAAAGGCTTTAACCAGTTCTCAAACCTTTCTACACATAAGCGAATTCATACAGGAGAGAAACGGTATAAATGTGAAGAATGTGGCAAAGCCTTTAACCAGTTCTCAAACCTTTCTACACATAAGAGAATTCATACAGGAGAGAAACCCTATAAATGTGAAGAATGCGGCAAAGCTTTTAAGCAGTCCTCAAACCTTTCTAAACATAAGATAATTCATACAGGAGAGAAACCCTATAAATGTGAAGAATGTGACAAACGCTTTGTACACTCCTCAGCCCTTTCTACACATAAGAGAATTCATACAGGACAGAAACCCTATAAATGTAAAGAATGTGGCAAACGCTTTGCACAATCCTCAGCCCTTTCTAAGCATAAGGGAATTCATACAGGAGAGAAACGCTATAAATGTGAAGAATGTGGCAAAGGTTTTACGCAGTTGTCAAACCTTTCTACACATAAGAGAATTCATACAGGAGAGAAACCCTATAAATGTGAAGAATGTGGCAAAGGCTTTGCACACTCCTCGCACCTTTCTACACATAAGAGTATTCATACAGGAGAGAAACCCTATAAATGTGAAGAATGTGGCAAAGGCTTTGCAAATTCCTCAGCCCTTTCTAAACATAAGAGAGTTCATACTGGAGAAAAACCCTACAAATGTGAAGAATGTGGCAAATCCTTTAAATATTCCTATAATCTTACTATACATAAAAAATTTCATGCTGGAGAAAAACCTTAGAGATGTGAAATATGTGGAAAAGCTTTCAAACTGGCCTCACACCTTAGTAGACATAAGAAAATTGATACTGGAGAGAAACCCTACAGCTGTGAAGAATGTGGCAAAGCTTTTAGCCAACCTGCAACCGTCACTTCGCTTAAGAAAATTCACACTGGAGCGAAACTACATAAAGATGAGAAGAATGTGGCAGAAACTTTCCCTCATTCCCCAGCCTCAGTAGACATAAGGTAATTCATACTGGAGAGTAACCCTATGAATATAATCAGTGTAGGAAAGCCTTTAACCAGCTCTCAACTCTTCCTACATCTGAGAAGTTATATGAAACATAAAACCTAGAAATATAAAGAATGTGATAAAATTTTCAAGAAAGTTTTCAGCCTTTATCACACGTAATTTATGCTGGAGAGAAGGCCTGTAAGTATGAAGAATGTGGCAAACCCTGTAATACTTTCTCTTTTTCCTTTTTGAGAGAGAGTTTTCACTCTCATCATCCAGCATGAAGTTGAATGGCAAAATTTCTGTTCGCTGCCACCTCTGCCTTCTGGGTTGATGCCGTTCTCTTGCCTCAGCCTCTCTAGTACCTAGGATTACAGGTGCCCACAACCACGTCCTGTTAGTTTGTATATTGTTTGTAGAGACAGGGTTTTGCCATGTGTTCCAGACTAGTCTCAAACTTCTGACCTCAGGTGAGCCACCCACCTCGGCCTCCTGAAGTGCTAGGATTACAGGTGTGAGCTACCACACCTAGCCACAAGTTCTCAATTCTTTTTTTTTTTTTTTTTTTTTGAGACGGAGTTTCGCTCTTGTTACCCAGGCTGGAGTGCAATGGCGCGATCTCGACTCACTGCAACCTCCGCCTCCTGGGTTCAGGCAATTCTCCTGCCTCAGCCTCCCGAGTAGCTGGGATTATAGGCACGTGCCACCATGCCCAGCTAATTTGTTGTATTTTTAGTAGAGACGGGGTTTCACCATGTTGACCAGGATGGTCTCGATCTCTTGACCTCGTGATCCACCTGCCTCAGCCTCCCAAAGTGCTGGGATTACAGGCTTGAGCCAGCGCGCCTGGCCCGACCTTATTTTTAACACTTATTTTAATAAAAAGTTAAGCAAAATTGAATTCGATGGATTTTTATCCATCTATGTGTGTGTGAATGTATAAAATGGTACACAAGGAAAAAAATTTAAGCCAGAAAAAAAGTTAATATTTATAATGAATAAAACTGGAAAATAGTTATTATGTGCAGATGATATCTTTGTTTATATAGATAACAGTCGCAGAAAATCTGTTTAAAAGTTTATTTTGGTGCATAGGCAACATCCCGAGATAATACCCTGGATTCGTAGTCTGTTGCACACCTGCTGTGTAATCCTTTCCTCTCGAGTGTAAGGAAATGTGTGACTGTGCTCGGAAATCACTCATGTAATCATGTTACTCATGTATTGACTTTGTGTTTCTCAAAATGGAGATTATCCTGATTGTGCTGAACTTAATCAGAGGTGATTTTAAGAGAAAGAGACACTCTTTTTTTTAAGTAAATGACTGTTAGGTGGGCCTTGTTGTTAGGTGCTTATGGTAGCCACACGGCAGGAAACATGTTTGTATATTGTCATTATTCTTGCCTTCTGCATGTCACTTCCAGGAGGGAGAATAAGAGAATCCTATGGCAGAGGGGAAAAACGGGAATCTCATTCAGGGAAGAAATAGTCACCTCCCATCTGGGACAGCTAAAGAGAAACAGGACCACAAGAAGACCACATTAACGGGAGGAAGAGGGCAACCTGGGTAAAGTGCTCATTGGCGTTATTAAACAACATTTAGTAACCTGTAGTGAATGATCAGCTTCTAAGGTAACAATCTATACACGGGGCTGAACTCTTCCAACAAGCATGTCTGCACCATGCTGGGGACCCAGGTTTACGCTTTTCTATAGAAATACCTTGAAGACCAGTGGGTTATGTCCTGGAATTGAACTTTTTTTTCTTTTTGAGATGTCTGAGTCTTGCTTTGTCACTCAGGCTGGACTTAAGTAGTGCTGTCTAAGCTCACCGCAGCCTCCAACTCCCAGTTCAAGCAGTTTTCCTGCATCAGCCTCCCAAGTAGCTGCAGGCACAGTCCACCACACCTGGGTAATTTCCTTTTTAATAGTAGATACGGTGTTTCACTGTTTGAGGCAGGATATTCTGGATCTCCTGCTCTCGTGATATACCCACCTAGGCCTCGAGCTCTGCCGAATTAAACTTCTTTCAAAAAAATACCTAATTGTTCATTTTCCTAAATTAAAAATGTTAAAACAATAAATTTATATATAATTAAATTCTAATTAAAAAGGATTCTACTATACTGTAATAGAAGATTATAATGTAAATACATTAATATTTTTTGAATGCATAACTACTTATGTGTATAGTTTCTTCAGATTAACATGACAAAATAACAATTAGAGAAAACTTTTGAAAAGGGATAAAGTTATTCAAATCCACATCTTTTCAGTGGCTTGGCATAATTGCCATGCCTTTGGAAATGGCTAGATGACTAATAAGAAACTAAGACAAGATTGTGGCTTTGCTCATTCATTGTTTTTGAACTTTTAATTTTTTTTTTTTTTTTTTTTTAAGATGGAGTCTCATTACGTTGCCCAGGCTGGAGTGCAGTTCCACTATCTGGGCTCACTTCAACTTCCACCTCCCAGGATGAAGTAAGTATCTGCCTCAGCCTCCAGAGTGGCTGACATTACAGAGGCACTGACCACCATGCCCAGCTAATTTTTATATTTTTAGTAGAGACGGTTTCACCATCTTTGCCAGGCTCATCTTGAACTCTAGACCTTGTGATGCACCCACCTCAGCCTCCCAAAGTGCTGAGATTATAGGCGTGAGCCACTGTGCCCCGCCTGTTTTTTACGTTTTGAAGTGTAAAATTCTGGCTAAAGTATTCAAAGGGAGTATTTTACAGGTGGCTTCCCAAGGTTCCCAAGGCAATGAAGGAAGAATTTTGATAGGCAGGAAAATGCGAATTATATACACACATTGCTCCTTTCTGATTTGCCTTAACACCAAAAAATTAAACATTGTACATGTAGTCTCTATTTAGAGTAAAAGATTTGTTTTTGAATAAAGCAAAGGTATAAAATTAATGAGTAACATGCTATTAGCTGTTAAAAAATTAGTGTGACTAAATTCAGTAAGTACACAGTTATCCAAACAACAGGCCAATTAAATGAGGACCCTAATATGTGCGTGTGGAAAGCATTCATGTGCAGTGTGGTGCAACTCCACTCAGCATTTTCTTGTGCCTCTTTACAGAGATACCAATTTCCCCTGAGTGACTCAGGGTGCATACTGGGAACTGAGAATGCTGTGTTCAGAGTAATTACTGAAAACATGGTTAATACACTTCTTCCAGAGGATAATAAAATGTTATAAATCTTGCAGTACCTCAGAAAACCTGTTAGTAAAATATTAGGGTGCTCAATTTGAGTTCGTGGAAATTTTCCATATTTGAGGTAACTCAGACACTTAGTAAAATCCCATAAAACCTATTCCAATGAGATAGTCTTCTTAACCAATAATTTTATTTTTTTTTATTTTTTTATTTTTTAGACGGAGTTTCGCTCTTGTTACCCAGGCTGGAGTGCAATGGCGCGATCTCGGCTCACTGCAACCTCCGCCTCCTGGGCTCAGGCAATTCTCCTGCCTCAGCCTCCTGAGTAGCTGGGATTACAGGCACACGCCACCATGCCCAGCTAATTTTTGTATTTTTAGTAGAGACGGGGTTTCACCATGTTGACCAGGATGGTCTCGATCTCTTGACCTCGTGATCCACCCGCCTCGGCCTCCCAAAGTGCTGGGATTACAGGCTTGAGCCACCGCGCCCGGCCAACCAATAATTTTATTAGTAAAATTCCATAAAACCTATTTCAATGAGATAGTCTTCTTAACCAATAATTTTATATTACTGCTAAATGTAGAAAAAAAATACTAGACCAGTACTTTAAGCCAAATAATAGTGTTTGACATGTGAGCAACCCCCAAACAAATGAAACCGATCTCTACTAAAAATACAAAATATTGGCTGAGCACTGTTGCTCACGCCAGTAATCGCAACACTTTCGGAGGCTGAAGTGGGCGGATAATGTAAGGAATTTGAGACCAGCCAGGCCAGCATGGTGAAACCTTGTCTGTACTAAAATGTGAAAATTAACTGTGTGTGATGGCACAGGCCTGTAATCCCAGCTTTATAAGGCCTAGGCAGGAGAATGGCTTAAATTCAGGAGGCAGATGTAGCAGTGAGATGAGACCACGCCATTGCAATCCAGCTTGGGTGACAGAGTAAGACTCCATCTCAAAAGATAAAAAATAAATAAGAAAATTTGCCATGCATGGTGGCAGGCATGTGCAATCCCAGCTACTTGGGAAACTGAGGTAGAAGAATGGCTTGAACATGAAACACCAGTGAGCCAAGATCGCACCACTGACTCCATCCTTGGCAATAAAGTGAGACTCAGTCTCAAAAAAAGAAAGAAGTGATCATACATAAAACCTATAAAGTTATTTTATAGAATATAAAAAACATGTAAATTTGCATAAATCTGTTAATAGATACACCATATAATTAAACATCAATAACAACCTGGAAATATGGAGGCCTAGTTTTTGTGTTCAGTTGAAGCTATGATGAGATGAAAATATATCGTTTTAACTGTGAGATATGTCATATCCAGTTTTCAAAATGATTACAAAAATATTTATAAAAATATGCAAAATAAAAAATAATGCATGCCAGTACAAAATTAAATGAATATTTAAAAAGTAAATCATCTGGGCTCGGCGGCTCATGCCTGTTACGCCAGTACTTTGCAAGAGTGAGATGGGCGGAAAAATAAAACAGGAAATAAAAATACATAACTGCTAGAAACAAATTTTAAAAACAGCAATATAACTTGGTAATACAACTGTGAAATTAGAGAAGTTCCTCTTTAAAGTTTTCCCATCCTTTCCTGTAATCCTAGCACTTTGGGAGGCCAAGGTGGGCAGATTACTTGAGGTCAGGAGTTGGAGACCAGCCTGACCAACATGGTGAAACCCAGTCTCTTCTAAAAATACCAAAAAAAGTAGCTGGGCATGGTGACGCGTCCGTAATTCCAGCTACTCAGGAGGCTGAGGCAGGAGAATTGCCTGAACCCAGGAGGCGGAGGTTGTGAGCCGAGATCACGCCATTGCACTCCAGCCTGGGTAAGGAGCAAAACTCCGTCTCAAGAACAAAAAAAAGACATTGCTGTCTTTAACCTAAATGTGGATAAGTAATTAAGGAGTATAATCGCCACCTTACCCAGACAATGTGTAAACAAATGCTAATCTTGACATTTCTGAACCACTTCAGTAACAACCAGTATGTCAGAAAATCCCCTGGCCCTCGGAATGTCTGGAGCCCCTCACCCTATCTTCCCCCAGGAAGCCACTGGAATATCTGGAACCTCCTCACCACCACCCCCGCCCTTCACCCTGACTACCAAGGTGATTT